AGTTTAATAGTGGATTGAACAGCAGCCTTAACTAATTAAACCAAGTTTTAAATTGAAGTAATTACTACCACCAAGTTGTTCGTAATCTATTTCACTGCAACTCGTTGACATATCTAAATAAAAATCTGAGGATCAACTTACTGAACAAAATCTACGAATATCTATCTTCATTGCTGCTAATAAAACTGAAATCAAATGTTTTTTCAAAAACGACGTATTCTCCAATATGTTCAAATTTTTGGTTTAAGCAGACAACACAACACTCTAATGTTAATTTCAAAACAAAATTTTTCAATTCTCCGAAATTGTTTCAATTTCATATCCATTGTCTAAAATTTAATATTCATATGATTTTCCCATTTGGAAGATCTTGGATTCATTAACACCAGTAAGATTAAAATCCTCAAACACCTATGTGATTAGAAGCTCTCTGTAACCATTAGGTACTTGCTCCAACAAGGATTCGTCCCCCTTCAATTCTGCATACAATTTCACATCAATTTCTTGTAAGTACCATAAATGTTCATCAAAAGTCTGTCCTTCTTGTTTCGATTTCAGCATTTTGATGTTTAATATTCGAAGTAAAATTCCTTTTGTTGTTCATACAAAGGTTCAAAGAAGAAGCAGATCCTCCTCTCATGCAGTCACTTAGATATTATTGTTCCGAGTAAAAGACAAATTGTTAAACGTCGCGGCTCAAGATCTAAGCTTAACTTTGCGAAAAGTGATGGGACAATCTAAGCTCACGTTTTCAAGGAGGTAGGCGGACAAGAATTTATTAATAATTGTAGCGAAGTCGCCGGGAGAACGGAAGTTGATTGTTCTACAGTTAAATCCCTTTGCCTTTGTTTTGTACGTTCTGCATCAGTCTTGCCCACGAGTAGGTACGTAAATTTCATGACTTTAAGCTAAAAGGCTCATTGTCGTAGTCACAAGACGAATAAACTGCGTACGAGTGAAACTTATAGTCTTTAGACATTGATGAATTTTCAATTATATGAAGAAAAAGTGGCAGAACACTTACGTGGGGTAATCAAACAATAGTAACACTTCATTCTTTTATTTTGTTTCATCCTCTTCAAGGTAATCCCTTTTGAATGAAGTACAGTGAAGTATACGTCCTTTCCAGTTTTTAAAACAGTTGTTAAAGTCAATTCCCTGAATGGCCCTCAAACTTTTCTTCAGGCCAGGCTTTTAGGTGATATCATGAGGATCTCTAACTGTCAATCGACGATTTTTTATCCCCAACTTCCTTGGCGTACGTTTACAGGCAATCTCTGCGTTCGTTGAACAACTTGTACCAATCAAAAATACTTGTTCTGGACAGGGTGCTACCAACTTCAGAATATAAACGAATCAGTCTTCAAATTAATTTTTTATGACTATGCTTTGATAGCTTCACAGAGCCCTATTACAGTTTCTAGGACATTTTTTTAGAAATACCTAATCAGTAGGCCCCTTCAGACGTATAAGTTTTTTCCTTGAGGTAATTACCAAAACCTGATTGGAAAGTTTAAATTAATTCCATTAGTTTGAAAGAATAGAGAAGCCGATTGTGAAATCCTGTCAGTAATACCTTAAACGTCCCGCCGCGTCTGCCATAAAGTTTCTAAAAGTCGTTTCAGATTTTAAAGCTGCAGATATTGAAACTTGAGTACCTCTCAGAAGAGTTGTTCAGTGGCCTTCCGCAAAATCCCCCTAAAAGCACTCCGGGATTGTTTTACTTCACTTTAAAAGGTTTCATTCGATCGAAATTACGAACGATAAAAATATTTTACCCTCTATATAGACCCAGGGACGTATTTATTTAAATTAAGGATATATTTCTGGCGCGGTATCTTTAAAACTGCTTCGGATTATAATCCATAAAATGACAAACGAAACTCTGCAAATATTTGAGTTTAAGTCGGTTTCGTTGTGAGCAAATTTTGCTGGATTTATACACGGGATTCGCTTAGTAGTCCAAGTTTGAATTTTACAGAAATGAGTTCGAATAATGGGAAAAGAGGATTACGTTTCTAAGCAAAAAACACATTTAATTTTGGTATAATAGGTAACTCACGCTTAAAGCTTATTTGAAAAATACGACACAATGAACTATCTAATGGTCTATGATACTCATGTTGCATCTGGAGTGCCTCAGGGTTCTCACCCGGGACCGTTCCTATTTATATATTCATAAGATCGTCAGTCCTAAGACTGGTTGGACACGTACCTCTACTCTTTCCTATCCTGAGCTAATCTTCGCATTTCCTTAAAGTAGAACAACAGTAATCTAATCTAGGTCTAACTCTACCCCTCCTAACTTCCGTTTCTGCCTCTAATATGTCTCTGACTAGACCTTCATGCCTGAGAAGGTGCCCTACTAACCTATCTCGCCTATTTCATATTGACTTCCATAGAGTCTTCTGTTCTCCTACTCTTTCTAATACCTCTTCATTTCTAACCTCTATCCACGGTATCCTCATCATTCGTCTAAAACACCACATTTCGAACGTTTCTAACTTACATCTTTAACAACCTTTTTCCACTGTCTAAATTAATCGTTCGCGAACATAGAAGTGACTTCTTTTTATTGAAGGCGACTCTACCCTGCGCTATCCTCTACTTTACATCTCTACTACTCCTTTATTCGCTCCAAAAATGTTTAATCTGGACATAGTGTTTTTCTGATTATAATTTTAATTTAGATTTCCAACTGCAGAGTGAACTAGTAACTAACTTTTACGATGATCCTGGTATTTCGTACAGATTTATTCATTGAACATTTTCGGGACCTTAAATGTAGATTTCACTTAGTGTTCCGGGCTTCCAATTGCAGTAAAATTTCACATTATTTCGATACGCGTTTATTACCTCACGCTTTCTTTTCTGGCTTCGTCGAGAAACAAAAGATTCCTTTTTATTATCCAATAAAGCGTTTACCGCCTGAGCCTAAATGAGAAAAATCGACAGAAAGAAGGCAAGAAAAGAATAAAAATCTATTAGGTTCATCGCAATTCAAATCGGCAAAATGCTGACAAAGATCAAAATTGTATCTACGGTTTAGCCCTAAGGACAGCTCTTTCTTTTTACCTCAGTCCCCAGGTATTGAGTGGATTTAAACGAAATATTAATCTTCCGAGTTACTCATGTGTAAAGATTGATTTTGGTTGAAGATGAAATCACCATCAAAGGGGCTAAATTACTATTTGTGGCACTGCAACATTATTGTATTTTCCATTAATCCACTTTTGTAATAATAGCCCAAATCCTATAACGGTTATTGCAAATTTGGGAGCACAATTAAGAAAGTATGAGGTTTAAAATATAAAATAAATGTCAAAAAATGTGGAAGTAAATCGCATTCGTATTATATCCTATATCCAACCTAGGCGTTTCTCTGTTTTCACTTTAGGGTTATTTTTAGTAACTCTGCACTCCCCCCCTTAACACGCGGCTACGTAATAAGCTTTACGTTGCTATTTAATAGTGACAGTAGTTAAACGTGCTATCTACAGGTGTTCCAATCTTCTTCCTATGTCTAGTGAAGTTGAGCGGGACTCAATGGAGTTGTAATTTACCCTGCTTTGCCTGGGTGGCGGAAACGCGTCGATTCTCCATTGAAATGTTGGTTTCAGCCGTTACGCCGTTTGACATGCGATTATAATTAAACGTCTCGCTAGTCTCGCATTTACAACAATAAATATAAAAGCGTCTACTTTAATCGTGGTACAATCCACCAACTGGTGTCAAAAAGAAATAATGAAAATCTCAGGAAACAGCTAGTACCTACAACTGACAATAGGCGAATGAAAAAGAAAAGGTTTTGTTTGATATCGAACGACTTCATAACGCCATCAAATCTGTATGTTATTATTAAATGATGCTATTCAGAAAGCTCTACGCCATAAGCCGTCAATTAATTTAACTATCTACAGCTTAACCATCGATTATTATTTTGGGTACCAACTACCTTTGACAATCGCAGTTTAATAGTTGACCTTTCGTGTACATTGTGGACTACGAAAGTTTAAGTGACTTTTATGAAAATATAAATAATTGGAAAATAACTTCAAACAGCTGGAATTAAATGGATTTCAATATTGTATCTAGTTATGGTAATATATCACTATTTACTATCATTGCGTGTTGACAGAGTTAAATAAGGTCGATATTCAGTAGAAATTGCTGACTAGGAACTTATATTGTTGGGATGTTCAAAATTGGCATAATCCGCAATAAAACTGTGGCATTTACTTTCTTCTTTCAACTTACTAACTAAACTAGAGCGGTTGCTGAAAGAATCCCTACTTAAACATAGGGAATATCGTAAACATAGACCGAGCGGCATGGCCTAGAGGTCTAGACCATTGCTTAGCATTCGGGAGGACGCCGGTTCGATTCCGGGTCCGTCTGCCTTGGTCCAAGTTTTTTCTGTGGTTTCCTTGGATCACTTAGGCAAATGCTGAGGCAGTAATATTCCACAGATAATCTTTCATTCTCTTCTGTCTTCATTTGGTCTTNACCGAGCGGCATGGCCTAGAGGTCTAGACCATTGCTTAGCATTCGGGAGGACGCCGGTTCGATTCCGGGTCCGTCTGCCTTGGTCCAAGTTTTTTCTGTGGTTTCCTTGGATCACTTAGGCAAATGCTGAGGCAGTAATATTCCACAGATAATCTTTCATTCTCTTCTGTCTTCATTTCGTCCGTCTCATCTTTCTCACCTGAACCACCACCCACTCCTGAAAGCAGGCTGAAGAGGGCCTTCCTCCCTACCTACCGGCATAGTCCGGAGGGACTGCCCGCCCACCAGCATCACTGGCTGGTGGGAATGAAACACCCAAAAGTTTTGTTTTTCGTAAACATAGAATAGAGATGTCAGGTAGGAATTGCAGGGGACACTAATAAAAAAAAACACCAACATGGCACCAGTCCATTCTTACAAATAAATTATTGCGAACTTTACCAATTTTGATAGCCCCAACTGTATTGACAAGACTTTGATGTTCAAGATCTTACCTTTGCAAATGGAGTAACTGCTTAAAGACGTTGTTCTCGTTGGAAGAGATGCAATGTGCCCCCTGCAGTGGGGACACAATTCCCCACTGTTACGTTCTGCTCGAGCCCATCTATTAATTACCGGCGGTGGAAGTGGCGGGGGTGGTGGTGACGGACTTGCTGACGGAGTAGACCAACTTTGGGACCGGGCAGATTGGGCACTTTCTCTAAGGTGCATCTGCATCAAACAGAAATTTCGTTAACAAATATTGAACCATTGCTCAATTGTCAGAAAGATTTTGGAGCACTCTCGAATTTTTCAATTAAGGTTCTAAATACACAAACGTTTTATCACTAAATTGTATCTCTGTATTTTATAGGATAAAAAGGTAATCTGTCGATCATCATTGACGGTATCGCTAAACGACAAGACACGGGTGAAAACAATTTTGTCGGCCGCTGTATTGTTAAATTCTCTGTCCCACTAATTCCTTTAATCCAGTGGATGTCATGTTGTAGTCGCTGTAATATTTATTGAATTTCGAATAGGTTTTTGTGTTGGACACAGTGACTTCAAAAGGCGGCAGTATTAAAGAGATTACACGGCCACTCTACATCACTGTCACTTTTAGCACGGGTTTTAACATGTATCACGTGCACCGTGGAACGTGTATGTTGGCTAGATGAATAAATAGGTGGCTTACAAGACACGCTGAGCTTAATCTTAAGCGGCAGAGATTTAGCACCGTCTGGTCTCGAAATTATGCCGAGCCACAGCGTAAAAATTAGGTCATGTGCTTGTTTTAAAAAGAAAACGAAATTGACCAGAACTCAGTCAGATTCTCAGTTATCCCAAGCTGGGAAACAATCAAATTTCTTTAATTTCTTCAAAGTTTCTCATTGTTAATAATGATTATACATTGGCTTTGACGATTCTGTGACCTCCACAGTTAGGTACGTATCATCGTTGTTGCTACTGTCACCTCTCGTAGCTTAGTGATAAAAGCACCGATGCGTGAAGTCAGAGACCTGGGTTCGATTCCCGGCAAGGGCGCGACAGCAGTAACAATTTTTCCTCTTTAATTTGAAGATATTGTAATGAGTAAAATTAATATAAACTTAATTGCTTTTTATCATTTAGCGGACTTTTCTCTTCCAAAAAACTTTGTAAAACCACTGACTAGTCAACTTTTGGCAAATAAACACAAACAAAATAGTATTATTGATAAAATAATTAACAATATCTTGAGATAAGTCATTTGTTGAAACAATTTAAAAGATGCAAAACATTTCCTTTAAGTTTTGTAGTTAAATCATTATCAAAGAGCTTCTGCAAAAACATCTTACGTCAGATTTATTAGTAAGTCTTTTTGTGAACTTAAGCATTTCTTAGTTCTCAGATCTGATCAAGTAATAGACACGTGAAGTGTATGGTTAATGAATTGAAGAACAAACTTGACCGAATTGACAGCAAAACACACGAGATTGAATTACAGTATTGAAAAGAAAGATATAGAAATGAATATGACAGAGTAGCAGAAGACAAACTTTATACATAAAATATTGATACTGATACAAAAACTAAAGCAATCAGGAAGTAACTTCAGTAAATAACTTCAGCGTTACTCAAAAACAAGCCAAGAACGCGGAAGGCAGAATTGTTTCCACCACTTACCCACACGGAATGAGACGATTGTTACAACGTCTGGAAGTAAGTGTTTTTATTTTTCAGGAAAAACTTGGTTTGAAGAATGGCTACAAAATAAATCGTCATGTTTCCAATTCCTTTTGTTGTTTAACGACGATATAAAAATTTTCAATCGAAGGAAATCTATTTATTGAAAGCAATATTTTATACTTGTACTTGTAAAATCAATATCTTGCACTTATATAATATTTGGACACAATGTTGTCGGTATTCTATCGTTTAATTCTCAATTCTCAATCAAATTATTGTTAGATACTCATCTTGCATCTAATGATGCGTCAAATACGACAATACTCAACCCTCTGGGCTTGTATTTTTGATGGTGTTAAATACGTCCATAAACAATGTATTGTTATAAAAGGTACTTCTCTGTTAATTTTCAATACAAATCTCCATGATCCTTAAGGTCTTCTAACAAACTTTGCCCGTTACTTGTAATCAACCTGTCAAAGAAAATGTTGGAAACTGCGCCGCTGTTAACAAAAAATGAGGATATAAATCTATCCGCCTACATCTTATAAATGCGATAAAGATCATTATTTTTTTGGGCAGATTTGATGGTTTTTCTGGCCAAAAGGAACACGGTAAACAGCCTAATAATGGTACATAATAATACATCTTATCCGTTAAGTGCTCCAACCTCTAGCCAAACAGACCAAGAGAGCAAAGTTTAGCAGCATCTCGAATTTCTCGTTTATTTTCCGCGACGAAATTTCTAATACGAACACCAGGGGCTTAAAAAATCGACATACGGAGCAGTAAATGTGCTCATCATTTTCTTTGACGTCTGAAGTAAATAAAAGCGCACCCCCCAAACCTATTATTTCTCAGGGAAAGGTCCTGGAACGATAATACGTGAACATTGTCGACGATTTTCCTTTAAAGGATTTGCTCTTTCACCTTTTGGTAGATGGAATCTTAGAAAAACGATTCTTATTCTTTTAGCATTGGGTTTGATTGGACTTTACCTTACTCTACTACAAGGAGGTAGAGGAAGCTCAAAACTGGCTCCCCTTTTATGAAGAACAGAGGTCAATAACTTATCGGAATTTCATCTTTCGCCTTTTGTAGGATGAATTTCAGAAAAACGTTTGGCTTGATGTATTTTATGGTTTAGTACGAAAAGGTAACAATCTTTTTTTGAGAAAAAAAAAACAAAACTGGTTATCCCGTTTTAAGGAAGAGGTCGATAACCTACCTTTCCTTTAATATTTCTGATGGCTGGTTTATAAAGTTTTAGGTAAGTAAATTGTTTTAATAAGAATATTGGTTGGTTGGATGTTTTCCTGACGCGTTCGAAAATAAACGCCCTAAAGCCACGAAAGAAAGAAAATTTAGTTTCAATCTTCTATGTATTTTCCTACAAAAAAGTATGTCGGAAGAACAGACAACCATTCGAACCACCTTGCAACCACCTCTGTAATAAACGATAACAAATTTAATTTCCAACCCAATATCTTTATCTATTTGTCGGCTCTCGAGAACGCGTACAAATATTTGCTCCAAAATATTGAAAGACGAAGGTGATGGATCCAGGATAAGGCTATATAACTGCCGTTACGGATTCCGAAGTTTTATTATCTCTAGTCTTTGTTGGAAAATTTTACCTGGGGAGAGGAAATCAGTTTCCATGAAAAATAATTTCTGTCAAATGTACCATAATTCTCTAACGTAAACATATGTTCCATATACAGGGTTTGTCCGGAAAGTAATAGGACTCAGTCGGTTTAAAAAAATTTATTGAGCCAATCGTTACAATTCTTTAAAAACTTTCAAAATAGGCTCATTTTGCGTCGATGCAGCGTTGCCAGCGCGATTTCCAAGCATTGAAGGCGTCACGGAAGGCATTCCCCGGAATAGCCTTAAGAGCCGCGGTGCATGCTGCGTGGATCCCCTCTGTCGTCTCAAAATGCTTGACTTTTATCGGCCTTTTCCGGCGAGCAAACAAAAAGAAGTCCGGGGGGGGGGCACATCTGGGGTGTAGGGCGGCTGCGGAAGCGTTGGGATGCCGGCCTTGGTCAGGTAGCTGTCCACAAGAATGGCGGTGTGAGCCGGGGCGTCGTCGTGGTGCAACTTCCAGTCGGCTGCGATGTCTTGTCGGACCCGATTGACCCTTCGTTTGAGTCTCTTGAGCACTTCCACGTAAAACTTGGCGTTGACGGTTTGTCCAGGAGGAACAAATTCATGGCGGACGATGCCTTTCATGTCAAAAATGACAATGAGAATCGTTTTCACTTTGGATTTGCTCATTCTTCCCTTTTTTGGGCGAGGAGACGCCGGCGTGTGCCACTCGGAAGATTGCCTCTTTGTCTCGGGATCATACTCAAAGATCCATGACTCGTCACCTGTGATTACGTTATTCAAAAATTGGGGGTCACTTTCACACGTTTCAATTTTCTTGACACACTTCCACTCGCCGCAATTTCCGGTCGTCAGTGAGCACTTTTGGGACCATCTTCGCGCACATCTTGCGCATGTTCAAATGCTCCGTCACAATGTCATGAACCCCAGATTTTGGTAAATTTAATATCTGGGCAATTAAACGAATACTTAGTCGACGGTCTGAGTTCGAAACGATCTTCATCAGCGACCTCTTCCCGGCCCTCTGAAAAGGCCTGGTACCACTGAAACACACCACTTCTTGCTAAAGCAACATCTGGGTAAGCCTACTTGATCATATCAAACGTCTCTGTCGCAGATTTACCGAGTTTCACACAAAATTTAATCGCGTACCTCTGCTCTAACGAACGCTGCATTTTCGGCTTGCACCACTCACAGAAACACGTCGTACGAAAAAGCCTGTTCTGACTCTCCAGGTGCTCGGAGACAACTCACCAGTCACTTGTTCGTTAGCTAGGAATGCCCCCTACTGAATCCAGTCGGTGCGCGCACGCTCCGAAGTACAGTCGCGGCGGAAGAAAATCAGTCCTATTACTTTCCGGACAAACCCCGTATATTTATTTATTTCAATTAATTAATATCGGAAGCAGGTAAATCTATTTTCTCATTTTTGATCGCCTAACCTCAAATATTTCCGAAAATCTTCAGTGTATGGCCCTAATTAAATTGACCTAACCTAACCCGAGAACTGAGCTACTATTTAAAAGGAAATTGACCGTAGAGGAGATCGAGTGTGTTGTCGGTTGGAATGAATAGATTTGCTAACGATGCAATGGGCGGGTAAAATAACTGCAGAGTCGTTAAAGGCGATTTTGAACGCTCTCCGCGGTCGAAGGATCGAAGTCATCTATCGAAAGGCGCTTACAATGGAACGAAATCTGAATACGACGTACTTGCAAAGGCCGATCTTTTGAAATTCACGGACGCTTCATCCGTCGATGATGATTTGTTTTTGCTTGCATGCAGTTTGGATAACAAAGGCGCACCGGTCATAAATATAGAGCAGCGCAAACCTGACGACATGAAAATTTACATTCTGGCGTAATCGTAGGTACATTGAAATCGATAAATAATAGTATGCATCATAATATCATAACTCTATTCCTTAACAACAAAAATTATCAAAACTT